TTGCCTTTTAAAGGGACAATGAAGTACATACCAGGAAGTGATGTATTTAGTTCCCAAGGGATCCGGGACCCCTGGAGAGAGACATGTTTACAAGTGTGACATAATCTGTGACCGATCCACGCTGGCATTTAGTCAATTAACCTTACATTGTAGAACAGATCGTGGGATAATGAACTCGTCTATAATATCTACAACAATATAACAACAATTGTTACTTTCAACCATCAGCCATAATAGGATCAAACTTTCAAAATCCTTACACTGAACACTTAGGCTGAGAAAGTGATTGTGCTGATGTAGGTGCCAAGTGTCAATCAACGGAGTTGCAACTGCCATCGTGGAGCGGTTCCTGTTGCATCACTGTTACCCGAGGCACGCGTTACTTGCCAAGAACCTGTTACACAATAACAGGTATTTGGGGCGAATTCTTACTGGTCAAGATTCTTGCAGGTAATTAACCACAACGATAGTGTGGCGAGACTTTGTAAATATGCAGCGTTGTTCAACATGTTTGAAGTTTCAATTGTGGGATTGTTAGTTTTTCTTTGTACAATAAATAAGTGCTCTCACAGTGCTATTAAAAATGTGTTTATTTGTCACACAGGGTTGGCAGGACTGCTGGACCGGAAGTGGAGGAGCTGCAGCAGCTGATAACAACACGTTATCACAGCTTCCGGCGTGAGCAAACACGGCATCGCCGACCCTGAACACACAGGTGATTTGGGGACGGTCGAGGTGAAGGTATATAGAACATGACGAGAAAACGCTCAGTTGAAGAGGTTTGTTTCTTGTATAATAAATGGTCATTTGATGTAGTGTCTGTGACTATATCCAGAGCAATAAAAAAGCATACCAGACGTTAGGTGTTGCTATTTCTAAATAAGACATTCTTCGATCTACTTTTTTCCGAAACGAGAATCTCTATATAGATGTGTGCAGCTAAAATTCTTGTAACCTCCAAGAGCTCTCTTTCAAATTAAGATATGTTATTCAAAACAACAATTTTTAGATTGGCATTAGAGTAGTTTTTAATCGAGTTTTTTCGTTGTATACATTTAATGTATCCAGAGTAATAAAAACACATTTTAGGTATTAACAAATCTTGTATAATGCCATTAAGTATAATACGGTATATAGTCACTGATTATACGTATATCTATATATTTTAATTACGAACTTTCACGCAATTATCAATACTAAACCACTTAGATCCAAAAGGAGTATTTTAAAACGAGGGATACACTATTTTTGTTGTTATTGTTATTATTTTTTTCATTTACACTCCCATTTTATAGCTCACTATATATATCTTGCGGTTCGATAGTTTTTCGGCTTGTGGTGTAGGTCCCTTGCTGATCAATCTGGTTCTAATTCCTAGTTTTAACACGTTTGGGTACAAATTAGAAATCCCTATCGCTATAATTGCTTTAGATCGTTAATCAGTGTTAAACTCCTCCCCTTAACACCAATAAGATTGGTTCTTTCGAAATGCACAAAACAGCTATTAACGAAGAAGGGAACCCCCTACAACCATACGTTATAAAGATACAGGAAAAGCGTTTGCCTAAAAATAACGGGCGATTGAAAATCATACATATATTGTATACTAGCTGTAACCCGCGGGCTTTGCCCCGTTTAACTTCTTAATTTTCAAGATTATCTCGTTCGCATGGCTCAATCACGTGCTGGTTGAAGTTTGTTCGCTGCGCTCACTCACCTTTAGGTTGGAGCTCGTTCGCTCCGCTCACTTGCCTTCAGGTTAGCTCGTTCGCTACGCTCACTCACCTCCAAGTTGGAGTTCGTTCGCTACGCTCACTCACCTTTTGGTTGCAAATTGGCTGTTGTCATAAATGTAAAAGAAATAATAGTGCTGCACCCTGTTGGTAATCCTTGTAACTTTAATGCTATTGAACATCATAGAACAGAACCAACTTGTTTAATTGTAACAGCTGTTAAGATTCAATAATTCCATTTCTCATAAGGTTAACATGGGAAACTCCCAGAGCCACTGGGGCGGAGCCCGAAAGGATTTTTGAAATGAGAATATGCCTATACTGTATGTTAATCGGGAATGTGAGCTATCATCATGCCAAATTTCAGCCCAATCCGACCAGTATTTTTCGCGTTCACTTGTCACAAACATCCAAACTTTCTCATTTATAATATAAGTAGGACAACGTGCCACGTATTCTAATGTACTTTTATAATCGTCAGAGCATGGATTTAAAGTTTATTGTAATCGTTCATTTGAGTAGCTCCACTCATTTCAAGTACAGTATACGTTTTTACTAAACTAAAAATTCTATCTATTTGTATACTTGTTACTCCTGATATAATTTTAAATTATTTGTATGACATTTAAATTGGCTGAGAAAGAAAGTTAGCAACCATACCTTCTGCGTGTAGAATGTTAAACCCGTTTCTGACCGGCACCTCTCAATCACAGGCTTTGTTCCATTATCCCCCATCAGGGTGATGATAGGCGTGGAATTTGCATGGGTTTCCTCTAGAAATGCCCTTCAGCTACGTCTAATGCTTGAGAGTGAAAATTGCGAATTGTTCACTCACAATTGAGTCTAATACGGTAATAAGTGATTATTTTGTAGGGAATATTAGCTCATGAGGGAATAATTCTTTTGTCTCTTCTTTTCTACTCCATTTAAACTATAGACGCAATTTAATTTCAGATATTATTTTATAGTTATGTTTTTCATCTAAGTTTTACTATTGTCTACATTGAGTGGACAAAGCGTCATTACTTTTAAAATTACAACATGGGCAAGACTCATGATTTGACAAATACACTAATCAATTAACACTTTTTAAAGTCCTCAATGTCCTCAACCTTTGGGGCGTTTAGCGAATTTCCCCACAGGGAAGACCATCCGCAGTACTATCCTGATAATTAGACCAATTCGTTAATTACAAGGAAAATGTGGTCCGGATTCCATCGTAAACTGTAGGTCCCTTAGTTCATTGGCTGTATGGATTATTAAAAACTGTGTGTAAGGAACATGTCGGCCTAGTTACTAACAAGACTACAAGATCACGCCACTCATCCTACACCCATCCTTCACTCATATTTGGGTTAAAATATGCACATAGTGGGGGTCTGACTTAGGGGAGGTACGAATGAGGCATTTAGTTCAAAATTCCTCCGTGAACAGCGCTGTAGTAGAGATAACTTTGGCAATGAAGGTTTACTAATCGCAAAAATAGTTCTGTTAATAAAATAAAATTATAAATGTCTCAAATTCAATTTTATTATTTTTTAATTATAAAATTAAACTATCATAACCTAACCGAACTAACCAAACTTGCTGATAAAGAAATAATATAACAAAAGTTTAGTAATCGGAAAAATAATTCTGTTTATTAAATAGAACTAGAATTTGCTCAATTAAAATTTTATAATGACTTAATAATAAAATTAAACTGTAATAACCGAACCAAACCAACCAAACTTGCTGATAATAAAAAAATCTTGGACAAAAAGTTAATGGTATCAGCGGGATTCGAACCCGGGACCTACAGTATATCAGCCCGGCACGCTAACCAATAGACTGAGGCCGATGGCTACCGATCGTTTTGTTACGGTAATGGCGTTCCCTCAGCTAATAAGAAGCCCACAGCTGTCATCGTAGCCTCTTCTATACCTCCCCTGAGTAAATACCACATAGTGGCGTCCCCGGTGTCTCCATGTTAAATAATTGACATAGTTGATTGATTTATATTACATTCCAATTAAAATTAGGTATATTCAATGCTGAATGTTTATTGAATCTTCAGGGTATCAGATGAGTGTGTTTGTATTTAATTACACTTCTCGTGTCTGTAGTACGAGCAATACACTGAAGGTGCGGTCGATCGTTTGGCCAAGCGCCAAATTGGGAAAGGAATGCCTTATATATAAAACCATATATTTTGTTAATTCCCGGCGCGGCGGTGCGGTAGGCGGAACGCGGCGTTATACACACCTGTTATTAATCGTGAACCGCTCCCATCCACCAGATAGCAACGCGATAAGACTGATGGTAACGTACGACCTTTTGTGATTTTGGTTAAGGGTTTCTGAGATTTTAATTTGTACACGAAATTCTAAAGGCTGATAGGCAATGGTATCGTGTACCTTGACTTGAGAAGAAGTATGCTTTTGCACAAAATTGTTGATGTTGAGATGTTAAATATCTGTTCAAAAAATCGTTTGGAACTAAATGAATTTGGCGTGGGGGATCTCGTCTTTAAGCTTTTAAACCATTAGATAGGCATTAGATAACAGGTTATATGTCATATTCAGGTTCGATCCTGAATAGTCAGTCGTATTTTGACGGTTCGAAATTGGATCCACCTCTACCTGTCGTTGATATTCAAGTTTTCAATAAATGGACCTTGCTTAAAACAGCTGATCTTAGTCGGTAACAAAGATACGCAGATGATCTCACTCATTTTACCTTGCATTCATAATCAAAGTGCTTACACAAACTTCGTCGCTACCTTCGTGATGTGATTATATAATTCTTACGTTATATTTGGTGAAAAAATTACAGTAGTCTATGCAATTAAAAAAAGTTTAAATACATCGACAAAGAACATTTGAAAAAAAAAATACTCCAATTATAAAATTATGTGCATTAAGTTTCAAAAACGACTAAGAATCCTGGCAAACATGCCTAGCTCCAGCTGTAATATAAATAATTTAAAGTACAGTTTGTCAATATTTGAGCAAATACAAACTACCCTCAAATATACAGACAACCAAACATTTAATGTAAAATTTTTATTTTCAACTCCGGCCAAAAGCTTTGTCACCAAATGTCTCATTTCTACACAACAATGTAACCATTTCGACCCCAACAATTAGAGTCAGTAAACACATACCAGGATGTGTGAACATGTGCCGGCAACAAGTGGTATGACGTCACCCCCCTCCCCTCCACGGTTATCTGCCGAGTGCCGTGCCGTCCCCGTCCGCCGAGCCGTCAGTTGATCGCTGTCGTGCACCGAGTGAGCGTCGCATTGTTGTGTCCGGTGTGTTGTCGTGTCGTGTTACTGTTATTTTGTGTAATCAGCTGACTGTGGATTACCATTGTTGGATCGCCCATGTGTTTGGTGGATATGGTGAGTCTAACCTCAATATTGGTTTGCGTTGAGTTGATGTGTGATTGAAAAATTTTAGTTAAAAATTTGGGTAATTTTGTAGTGTGATAGCTGACTGTTGGCAGTTTATTTTAATTTGTTGGTTATACATTTTTGTTTTCGATGGGTGATTTGATATAACATTTAATAGTAACAATTTTGATGATTTTTCGAATTTCTTTCAAAATTATCTCATTTGAAGATCTATTTTGTCTTTTGTATTAACCTGGCCGGGGAATAATTGTGACAGGTTTGGTTATGATGTTATTTACAAACATTATTGTAATTGTTTTGTAATATTGTGTTAGCCAAATTGACACTAAGTTATTACAATGGAAGTGATGGGTAATCTCAATTATTCTCAATGCCGGCTAGTAAAATTTGATTGTCAGCAGTTAAAATAATCTAAATTAAAATATTTTCCACATTATGCGACGATTGCTGTAGTACTACAGTTATGATTAATTATCTAAATTTAGAGGTTAACTGAAAAGGACCATAAGATCCCAATTTCGCCTCAATGAAGAGGGATTTTCATTCATCATTCAATATCCGGTTAAAGTTAATATTTGGGTTATTTTTAGATCAGGCAAAAATGGGGACATGACCTAACACTTCAATTGTGTATTGTTACTTACAAATTATATAGTTATGATAGTTTATGAACTCCAAATTGAGCAATAACTCTATGCAAATACTGTATTATTATAGATTAGAAAGGTTTACGTCATTCATTGGCGTTTAAACAAAGTTTCAATGTTTTGAAGCGTATCGGAAGTTATGAGAAAGATAACACTAAACTTATAAAGCAATAAGCTTTGAGTTTGAACAATTGCAAGGGAAGTAATGATATAACTTTGTAAAATATATAACGCCTCTTTCACACGACGCGGCGCGCGCCGTGCGGCGCCCGCCGGATCCGGCGTAGGGCTATGGGAGTATATGAGTCCTTTCACACTTCGTCCGGCGCGCGCCGCGCGGCGAATTCGCCGCACGGCGCGCGAGTTACCGCCGGATGCACCTTGAGCCGGACGACAGCGCCGCGCGGCGTCCACGCCGGACAACTCGGTGAAGGTGCATTGGTTCTTATGGGAGCTTTCACACGGTGCGGCGCGCGCCGCACGGCCCAACCCCTACGCTGTCTCAATTTTGGCAAACTACCTGACCAAGAGGATGCAACAGTTAATTAAGAAATTATATATCGTTGTATCGGAAAATAATATATTTAAAGTTATTACAAAACATACATTTTTATGTTAATCCCATGCAAATCGACCAACTTAAAGTATTAAAACAAAAATTTTCCTGTAATAACTAGAGGAGAATATTTAGTATTAAATTAATAATTTAGTAATTTATACGTAATGAAACATTTTTTTTAACTTCTAGAATACAATATTTTCAGATATGACGAATACTTATATATAATACGTGAAGGTGATTTCTACGAAATACTACTCCTCCGTTAATAATGAACCGATTTTTACAAACGATGTGTCAAAATTAAGTATTTGTTGTGTACACGCCCCCTTTCACCAATTCCTGTAGTAAAAGTCCTCGGGCTTTGCCCCTCAGGCCATCAAAATCCCAATGTATATCTTATGAAGATAAGATTTTGTTTAGTTAAACATGGTTAAACGGACGAATAATTTGTATTAATTACAGCTGTTCATAGTACACACATGATACACCCAAGAGTTTTCGTTTTCAGTTTCGATAGATGGAGTGGAGTGAGCGTTCGTTTTCAGAGTGAGTTCGTTTCCAGTTTCGATAACTGGAGTGGAGTGATTGGTTACATTATCTTTGAGTTGACTCTCACACGTCAACGGAAATAGTGACAGTTATTCGTAAAAAAAAAAAACTCCTTTAATATTTTGCAATTGCTCAAATTCGAGCAACAGGTGCGCTAGTTTATTATATTTAAAATTATCCTATTAATTTAATTTGAACTTTTAAGTGGAGCATTCATTTAAAAGCCACAACTGAACAGAAAATAATAAATATTTAGGAGTGCCGTACGGCGCGCGCCGCACGAAACCGTACTAGTGTGAAGACACACGCTTGTCCGGCGCAGCGCCGCGCGACGGACGCCGTACGGCGCGCGCCGCTTCGTGTGAAAGAGGCGTAATACTAGCAGTATTCTCCCAAGAAAAACGCTTTTACGGTTGTAGTCGATCGAAAGAATAGTCCCGGGATTTTATATTGATTACATTTTAAATGTGGTAGAATCAATTTGAATACTAGATGGACTACACTTCAATTTGGTCGGAGTGATTACCTCGAAAATTTGAATGTTTTGTTAAGCTAGCCTACTTGGGTTGTTACTTATTCAAAACATGATTTTTATTAAACTAATAAAGTAATTGCATTATACTACTAATTTTTACTTTTTGTTATTATGAAATACACTTCTCCATATTTATTTTAAGTAGTCTTTTTAAAACTCTTTTAATTAGAAGAAACGGTTTGTTCACGTAAAGACATGTTTAAGACATATAAGGAGTATAACTCAATGTGATTTTTTTAGGCACTCATGAAAATGAATTGGAAAAAACTCGTTATTAGGCAGTTGAATTTGTATCGTTTGCTTAATTCAATATTTTACCTTGTTAAATGCAACCTATTTTGTAGGCCAACTCGATCATTCAAGAAATTTTTTTGTAAATTTTATTTCATACCTTTTGCGTGCTTCAATAATTATGACAGTAGGCCTTTATAGTAATTTTCAACTTAGGTACATAACTCCATTGATACTTAAATAATAGTGCATTTCCTAACTAGAGCGTAAAGAGGCAATTTTCGAACTGAGCTATAGATACGGAAAATAAGCCATGGTTGAAAAGACACTTTCCGCAGGCGTGATGAACTATACTTTTTGTCACTTTGAAAAACTAAGTTATAAAACGAAAATACTTTTCATGTAAAAATAATCTCTCAAAACTACTTAAAACTTGTTATCGATTTCACTAATGCAAACAAGCAGCCGTTGAGTAAGTTAATCAATAATTACGTTTTTTAGGATTATATCAGTGTATAAATTACTATAGGAATGTTGCACTATTGGAAAGATTGTAACAAAAAACTACAACCGATTAAAACAATCAAATCATAGTTTCGATACTCGCGTTTGCTTACAATCGAAATTTACAACTGAGTTTACAAAAGATAATTTTTACTCCCTAGGGAGAAAAAGAGCTTCTTTAGAACAGTAATGTATTGATTACAGTAGGTGCTGCAGTATGACGAAAATTCAACCCTTTACAAATAATATTGTGCACCAATATGGTTTATGGATGTTCACTTATAGATGACTTTTTTTACTAAAACCCTTTGCTTAGAAATTGTTTTAGTACTTAGTGATTACATTATATTCATGGCTATTATAGGCCTAGTAAAAATGACGGACAAAACCTACTTACCTTTAATTAATCGTCATTAAAATTTAGGTGACCTATGAGTTTAGAACTTAATAGACTCAATAACAATACCAACAGATTTATACTAAAACATATTTAAACACATTCCACATAAGTTTCATAAAGTGGATATAAAACAGTTTCCTCTGCCGCGGGGCGGGTCAATCAAGTACTTGAGCGTAAAGTACTTTATTAAACCCAAGGCCGTCAAGTGCGGAAGGCCGTCCAGGATTGTGGAGTGTGGAGATCCCCCGCGGATGTTCCAGATGTCTAGGAACACCACATGTGTCCCATGGCTGAGTTTTTGCCGGGAAGGATTGCCCGGTTTTGGCGGGATACTGTGCACTGAACAACCCTGGTATAGTAACTGCTAAATTCAGGTTTCATCCATAAGCTTGAAAGTTAAAAGGTAGGGTAAAATATAAAATGCAGTGAAAGTAATTGTGGTAGGCCTAATGTGAAATCGTTTCGCTCCCAAACTTCGACCAAAAAAACTAAGACTGAAATCAAACCTGTTAGTATGCCTAGGCCCAATATTTTAACGAGACCAAGATATAAGTGAGGTTGAGATAAATATGTTGGAATGAGTGCGTCGTTTGTGTGCCCACATTGTATACTGCTTGTGTGAGTAAAACCTAGGGCGCACCCTTTCATAATAGTCTAAACAGTTTTGTTCAATCCGATCCGTACCGGAACACACTGTGTGAAATAAGCCATACTGTAGTTAAACGTCCAAATGATCAATGATAGCTAGATCTAAGCAAAACCCACTAGCAATTCTCGGCATATCAGCAAAAGTCATATTATTTGGCGTGGAGCAAATAACACCGCTCAATACAATCTAAACGAAAGTATGCAATAAAAGATATTTAACAAATAATGCATGTGAAAGAGCATTTTAAAATTAAGTTGTAAACACGGAATGGTTCCCGCAAATATCGTAAGCTGTGCAGGGGTGGATTGTTTTGGCGGGTGTACGGCCGTGACTTTGGCGGGAGACGGAACTGTCGTTACTCCGGTAACCACTACCGCGCCGTCGTACTGGCTTACTGGTGGCCTTGACTCAAGGTCAGGCTCAGCGCATGCTCAGTGGACAGTGGACACCCGAGATGTTATACATTGTAAGAGACCGGGTGTCGATGTCAACAATCTTGTGCTTGTGTGGTGAATGAGACTACAAACTGTTCAACAAAACTTTGGATAGTGCGATTAGCCTAGTGTGCGTTTCATGCCCGCGGTTAGTCTTGAGTGGATAAATTTGAACTGGTGTTTTTGGGCTCTGAGGACATCAAAACGATAAAGTAAATCGGTCACGGGTCTAGGTCTTACCTTGACAACATAACAACTACAGTAATAGTTCGTTCATTCTCTACATGGCAAATTCACTAAAAATAAATAAATAAATCCGCCCGTTAATCGCTGCGTTTTACTAAAAATAAAATATGACTGCTACGTTTTTTCAACATATATCATTCGTTTTGTAATCATTTTTCAAATAACCTGGATGCATTTAGAACAAGTTACAATTCTTCAACATGTTTGGGCTCATTAAATTCAAAACACAGA